GTGGAATGTTTGGAAGACAGGGATTTGGCCAGAAAGAAAGAAAGAAATAATGGAAGATAAACATGTTAAGATCTTGTGCCAATATCTCATAAATAATGGATGACTTCTGTTTTGATTATATGGAAAGATGGGAAGAGTCACTACTTGATTTCAGTGAGAACATGAAAAAAAATAAGGGAAGATAAACGTGTTTAACGCAGTCTCCTGCCAATATCTCATAAATAATAGATGACTTCTGTTTTGATTATATGGAAAGATGGGAAGAGTCACTACTTGATTTCAGTGAGAACATAAAAAAAAAATAAGGGAAGATAAACGTGTTTAACGTCTCCTGCCAATATCTCATAAATAATAGATGACTTCTGTTTTGATTATATGGAAAGATGGGAAGAGTCACTACTTGATTTCAGTGAGAACATGAAAAAAAATAAGGGAAGATAAACGTGTTTAACGTCTCCTGCCAATATCTCATAAATAATAGATGACTTCTGTTTTGATTATATGGAAAGATGGGAAGAGTCACTACTTGATTTCAGTGAGAACATGAAAAAAAATAAGGAAGATAAACGTGTTTAAAATCTCCTGCCAATATCTCATAAATAATAGATGACTTCTGTTTTGATTATATGGAAAGATGGGAAGAGTCACTACTTGATTTCAGTGAGAACATGAAAAAAAATAAGGGAAGATAAACGTGTTTAACGTCTCCTGCCAATATCTCATAAATAATGCATGACTTCTGTTTTGATTATATGGAAAGATGGGAAGAGTCACTACTTGATTTCAGTGAGAACATGAAAAAAAATAAGGGAAGATAAACGTGTTTAACGTCTCCTGCCAATATCTCATAAATAATAGATGACTTCTGTTTTGATTATATGGAAAGATGGGAAGAGTCACTACTTGATTTCAGTGAGAACAAAAAAAAATAAGGAAGATAAACGTGTTTAACGTCTCCTGCCAATATCTCATAAATAATAGATGACTTCTGTTTTTTGATTATATGGAAAGATGGGAAGAGTCACTACTTGATTTCAGTGAGAACATGAAAAAAAATAAGGGAAGATAAACGTGTTTAACGTCTCCTGCCAATATCTCATAAATAATGCATGACTTCTGTTTTGATTATATGTTTAATGGCTCTTTTTAGTGAAACAAAAAAAATTTTCAAGAACAAATCTTTTTATTTGTACCCACATCTTGAAATAATGACAAACATTCATATTTATGTTTGTTATTGCAATATTTTCTTAAAGTTGTTAAGCTTGAATATTAAATGATATGACAGGGGAATTTCTACAGATATATTTTATTGTTATAGAATTTATTCAATCATTAATTAAGTTAATTAAGATTCATCAGAAAATTTAAATATGAAAATTTTCTCTGGTCTTTATAGTTGGAATTATTTTATTTCATTAATAGTTATTGTAGTTAAAGGAGGAGGCATGATGGAGTAATAGATAGTGGCTCGGATTGAGGAATTGGAGAGCCGAGTTCAAATTCCAGTCGAATTCATTACATTCACTTACATGCTAATACCCTTGGGAAAGGTGTGAATCCTCTTCTTCTCCCTCCAGCTATGGGTAAATAGCAAAACAGACTGGGTTCTATAGCCTTGGATGGCAACCGGCCTAGGAGAAGGAAAAACTTTAAATTCAAAACCGGCCTGGTGAGAGTTGGGCCCTAACAGGCTATCTTGCTCAAGAAACACCACTTCTACTGTGGACTTGAAAAAGAATGCATTGGAAAGGAAAGTAATAATAATAATGCAACATGCTAAAGGTTAATAATTTCCCAGTCCCCTTATTTATTGACCCCTCTCCGTTTATTATATTTCTTGGTTTTTACAACATGGGAGGCATGGTGGAGTAATGGATAGCGTCTTGGATTGAGGAATCAAAGAGCCGAGTTCAAATTCTATTTGAATCCATTACATTTACTTACATGCTAATACCATTGGGAAAGGGTATGAATCCTCTTCTTATCCTCCCAGCTATGGGTAAATAACAGGAGAGATCAGGTTCTATAGTCTTGAATGGTATCTGGTCTACTGCAGAAAGAAATGGCAACATACTGCGGGATAAAGATCAGTCATGTATCGAAAGACACATGATCGCCTACGTGTTTATCACACATGGCACATAACTGACTGAAATTCCCTTACATGCTAATACTCTTGGGAAAGGCATGAATCCTCTTCTTCTCCTCCCAGCTATGGGTAAATAACAGGACAGATTGGGTTCTATAGCCTTGAATGGCAACTGGTCTACTGCAGAAAGAAATGGCAACTTGCTGCAGGGAAAAAATCTGCCTTGTCAGCCATGTATCAAAAGATACATGATCGCCTAAGCGTGTATCATGCATGGCACATAACTGACTGTGTTAAAGGCAGTTTGTGGTAATATTCATAAAAATTCTTATAACACTTGTGACAGTGCTGGAACTAAGTGTATTGCCATAAGTCTTTCCATTACCATTTCAGTAATGTGGCAAATGACTAACATCATGCATGGTTAACAGCCTGTCCACTATATTGACATAACCAGGCCTTGTTCACTGGAGAGATGAGAAGCCACAGTCTAGATGTTGTGTCTGAAATATCATCCAGAATAGAACTCCATCTGAGACTAAAAGATCCTTAAGCTAATCTCTTATTATGCTTAATTAATAAATTAAAATTATTACAGGTAGAGAAAAAGAACTTTCATATAAGGTTTGGTATGTTTTGCGGTTCAAGGTTTCCACTTTGGGTCATAGAAAATATGCGTATGGAAAGTGTGGGGATACTTTTGCTTACTTGAGAAATGAGTAAACTCGGAGCTGATGGTCTGATAAGTTAAATTTGATTCAATCTTATCTAAAGCCCCGGTAAGTGAGAAATTACAAAACTCGGAGCTGATGTCTGATAAGTTAAATTTGATTCAATCTTATCTAAAGCCCCGGTAAGTGAGAAATTACAAAACTCGGAGCTGATGGTCTGATAAGTTAAATTTGATTCAATCTTATCTAAAGCCCCGGTAAGTGAGAAATCACAAAACTCGGAGCTGATGTCTGATAAGTTAAATTTGATTCAATCTTATCTAAAGCCCTGGTAAGTGAGAAATTACAAAACTCGGAGCTGACGTCTGATAAGTTAAATTTGATTCCATCTTATCTAAAACCCTGGTAAGTGAGAAATTACAAAACTCAGAGCTGACGTCTGATAAGTTAAATTTGATTCAATCTTATCTAAAGCCCTGGTAAGTGAGAAATCACAAAACTCGGAGCTGACGTCTGATAAGTTAAATTTGATTCAATCTTATCTAAAGCCCTGGTAAGTGAGTAATCACAAAACTCGGAGCTGATGTCCAATAAGCTGGTTCACTGTGTCAGGCGAGACAATTTTTCTCTCTGGAATTTTGCGTATCTATAAGTCTACCATTCATCCATGCTTAGAATATTGCTGCCATATATGGTCCAAAGCTTCTTGATAAGATGCAAAGAAGAATCAGCAATAATATTGGTTCTGATCTTGCAGCTCAGCCTCAGTCACTTGCCCACTACTGTAAGGTTGCCTCTCTGTACCTTTTTCTATAAATACTTTCATGGTAATTGTTTGGATGAGCTCTTTGCTATGGTACCTAGTCTTTATGAATTTAAGCGCAGTACTAAACTGGCATCGAGATCTCACCAATTTACAGTTCAGCTAGCTAGATGCAGCCAGAATTTCTATGCTAGTAGTTTATTATCTCGCACTTCTTGCTTGTGGAACTCCCTCAAGCTCCATGCTTTCCAGCCAACTTTAATCTGCAAAAACTTAAATGCAATGTCAATCACTTATCTACTGTCGTCCTGATTACTCTTTTCTTTCTCATTATTAATGTTTCTGTTCCTAATTCCTTCACACCCTCTAACTCCTTGTCTGCTAGTGGCTGTACTGTCTTGCTTGGGGTGATACTGATTTAAAAAAAAAATCTTCAGCTTCTAAGTAGAGACTGACCATTATATAATTTAAATTTTAATAAAAATATCTGGTTAACACAAAACTGGCACAGCCCATATATTATACAGGGATTATTGGTTTATCAAGGCTTTTAAATTTGAGAAATTTGAACATTCATGAATGATCTCAAATTTAGAAGCCTTCACAAAACAATAACATCTTCATCTTTGTCTATAAACATGTGCAGCAAAATAAATCCTACATTACCTTGATAAAGTCCTTCAGAGGACAAAACGTGTCGTCTAAAAATAGTTTTTCCTCGTCTTCTCTTTCATTTTGTCTCCTTTATAGATTCTATCTATCTATCTATCTATCTATCTATCTATCTACCATTCATCCATGCTTAGAATATTGCTGCCATATATGGTCCGGTGCCCCTGGCATTTTCCTGGAACTCCTTGATAAAATCCAAAGAAGAATCGGCAATATTATTGGTCTTCATCTGGTTGCTCAACTTCAGTCACTTGTCCACTGCCATAAGGTTGCCTCTCTGTACCTTTTTTATAAATACTTTCATGTTAATTGTTTCGGATGAGCTCTTTGCTATGGTACCTAGACTATATGAATTTAGGTGCAATACTAGACTGTTGGTGAGATCTCATAAATTTACAATTGAGCTAGCTAGATGTAGCCATAACGTCTATGCTGACAGTTTCTTTTCTCACACTTCTCGCACGTGGAGCCTCCTTCCATCACCATGCTTTGCAGCCAACTTTAACCATCAAAAATTTAAATGCAATGTCAGTTGCTATCTACTGTCCTCCTGATGATTCAGTTCCTAATTTCTCCACAGTCTGTAAAACCCTTGTGTGTTAGTGGCATTACTGCCTTGCTTGAGGTGATACCGATTTAAAAAAAAAAAAAAAAAAAAGATTGATAAAAATTTCAAAAACAGTACAAACTTTTTGGGACACCTTTTTTGGTCAACCCCACCCCCACAGGGTTAAAAAAACAAAAAACAAAAAAAAAACAAAAAACAAAAAAAAACAAAAAACAAAAAGGTAACAGAACTTACAGGATCCCAAGAACTGAGGTAAACCCTTTCTTTGACTGGTTCCTCATTTTCCTCTAATGGTAGAGGGATTGTTAGAGGTGCTACTGGTGCAGCTGCTGCTTGGAATTTCTCAGAGTTTGGAGTTCTTGGAGAACTTGGTTCCTTATTTTTATTTCCTGGAACAAAAGAAACAAAATGTTAGTGTCTTTTTTGTTTTTGTAAATTATCTTGCCATTGTTAAATGAAATATTTTTCAGTTAACTCACTAACACATGTTAAATGTTGAAAACAGACTAGCCACGAATGACAAATGTAAACTAGTCTACATGAAACACAAAACCATTTACTGTAAAGTTTCATTAAACTTAATATCTCAAAAATGAGGGATTTGCAGACATATGTTTATATGGACTTTTTTCCGTTTTTTTGTGGTGAGGAACCCACCCTCAAAGTTTGTAAAAATTATTTTTGATACATCCTGGAGATATATACACATACACACCCACACATGGTAAAAGTGATGTAAGATAGCCATGCTTAAAGTTTAATTTTTCCTTCCTGTAGACTGAGATAATGAGTAAGGGGGTCTTGTGTATGTGGGTGTAGAAGCGAGTGGAGGCCATTTTGAATATTTATGAGTCACAGTGTTAAGCTACAATGATGGCCTTTTGGACATCTGTTTATAAGAACATTTTTGGTGTCGGGAACCCACCTCCAAAGTTTGTAATAGTATTTTTGATATACATATATATATATATATATATATATATATATATATATATATTTAAAAGAAAAAAACAGAAATTTTATGGTTCCGTTATAATAATTTATTTAACCACCAGCCCTTTTAAAGGATGCCAGATCATCAGATAGCACTTACAATATATATATATATATATATATATATATATATATATATATATATATATATATATATATATAAGCAAATATATGGATATAGATCCGACAGTATGAAAAAAAATATACGGAAAAAACAAACAAAAATCCTAATATGCAATTAAGCTGTTTTAATGTTAATATAATGTCAACGTTGGATGTTTCGGTCTTACTCTTATGTCCATCATCTTTTCATGTTGAATTAAATATAGTCTAATGTTAATTATGTTTCATGAATATGTCCTGACGATGGTCTACTAGACCGAAACATCCGGCGTTGACATTATATTAACATTAAAACAGCATAATTGCATATTAGGATTTTTGTTTGTTTTTTCCGTATATTTTTCTTCATATATAAATTTATATATATATACTAAATTTAACACAACCAAATTAATCATATGCAATAACTCTTCTCTAACATTGCATATAAGTTTAAATATCCTTTGGAGATTGTATCTCTGACAAGAAAGTAAGTACATATGTTGATCATTATCGAGATGTCTTACGCTTCATTTGTCGGACACAAGTTCTATCACACAACATTTAAAAACACATTCCTGTCCACTTTCACAATACAGAAAAGACTTGTTGACTACATCAATATACTACACCATGAAGAAAATAAGCAAAAACCTCAAATTCTTAAGGCCCTTTATATCAAAAGCAACCAATCAACACTGAACAAAATTTATACAAGTATAGTAGCAATGTTTTAAAATGCATTTACATTACTAACATTTAATACCATTTTGCAATTTACCATCTCTGGTTATCTCGCTTGCATTGGGAACACTTTTTTTTTTACAAAATATTGTTAATGGTTAATTTTAAAATAATTACAGTTCACATGTATTTTTGAAAATCACAATCACAGTTACATTATGTTTGTCTTTGCAATTCACCCCTGAGGATGATTTCAGAGGAGATTGAAAGTACTTGAGTTAACAAAAGATATGGCATCTTCTTTGATGAATTTCAACATAACCTCAAGAAGATAATTAGAGAACAAGAAAGGATTATTATAAAAATAAATAGATATATGTCTATATTAGTTAATAAAACATGCTTGAATGAAGATATGCTGCCTAAATAGACATGCACACATGTGTGTGAGTGAGTGATTGAAAGACAAAATGGAAAATCTCCTAAGTGGCACATTTTGACCCCAAAAGTCAGTGAAGTCAGTCTTATAGATATAAGTGGTAGTAAGAAATACAGTGACTAGATAAAAAAAACTTTGGTTACCATTTTACATTGAAAATGTTACAAAAATGTGTGTGTGTGTGTATATATAAATCTGTCTATATTCTGAGATGATGTATTATGTACATAATTTACATTATTCAGACTATTGTATTGAACTCACACTCTTTGGGTCCTGTCACTGGATCTAACTAACGTCTTTATCCACTCAAGGACACATGACACAGTGGATAAAGGCATTGATTAAATTCAGTGACAGGACCCAAAGAGTGTGAGTTCAATACCCAGTTAAGGCAGTGGAAAACTTGAAGAGGGGAATTAACAGGAGATAATTGATAACTGACATCCATTAAACATGGCAAGTGGAACTAGAACAGTCTACCCCAGTGAGCGAAATAAAGGGTTCAATTCGACATTCCAACCACCTGAAGAAGGCCGGAGTGTATAACGGTCAAAACGTTGTAATAAATATGACGACAAAAAGGAGGACAATAGTCCAAATAATGTAAATAGTGCACATAATACCTCATCTCATAAATATAGACAAAAAAAAAAACGTGGATGGCAACTCAAATAATTGCACCCACTAAACACTAAAAATAACATTTATAGTAATAATTATATATATATATATATATATATATATATATATATATTGGCAGCAATCTCTCTTTCATACAAGTTACATTAAAGATGACTGAAAAGGTACTGTGGTCAAATTTTTATTTCATTTTTTTTTTACATTCATATAAGTTTTTTTCTTTTCTGGACATAAAGTGTGTAAAAAATATCCAAAAAATTCTGTATATCCAAGTGCGTTTGGCTATTCTGTTAGTCATTATTAATGATGTTTTTTATTTTTATTTTTAACTGAATGTGTTGATGTAGATATATATATATGTTTCATTATAGACAGCAGACAAGGTACTATGATTAAACTTTTTATTTAATTTTTCTTGTGTTTGAACAAGAGCTTTCTTTTCTGGACAAAGGATGTGTAAGAACTGTTTGAATGTTTTATAGTTCTGAGCGCTTTCGGCTATATATTAAAAGATAGATAGAAAAGAATATAGATAGATAAGAATAGGGATAGATAGATAGATAGATAGATAGATAGATAGATAGATAGATAGAAAATAGACTTAGATAGATAGATAGATAGAAGATAGATAGAGAGATAGATAGAAAATAGACTGAGATAGATAGATAGATAGATAGATAGATAGAAAATAGACTGAGATAGATAGATAGAAAATAGACTGAGATAGATAGATAGAAAATAGACTGAGATAGATAGAAAGAAAATAGACTGAGATAGATAGATAGAAAATAGACTGAGATAGATAGATAGATAGAAAGAAAATAGACTGAGATAGATAGATAGATAGAAAGAAAGAAAATAGACTGAGATAGATAGTGTTTTCTTTTCTGGACACAGTGTGTGCAGAAACTGTCCAAATATTCTGTAATTCTGAGCAGTTTCAGCTATACTTTTAGCCATTATCAAGGATGATTTTATTTTGGCTTTTTAACTGTTTGTATCGAGTGTGTGTATGTTTCTAGAGTTATAGAGATATTTTACTTTCCAAACACAGTCAGCACATTGTGGCCATGTTCGTAGTTAATATTATTAAGTGTTGGCTTTTACCTTTTTATTATTAAGGCTTCCATTATTTTTAAAATAAAACATGCCTATAACTGTAAAAACATACACAAAATCCATACACCCAAATAAAAAGCTTAATTGTAGTACCTTGTCTGTCATCTTTAATGAAACATGTATAAATGAAGGATTGCTGCTAGTTTGTGACCCTGGGTTTCATGCTATATATATATATATATATACACTTTATATTCATTAAGGAGCAATGTACTGAAAGTTTGATTTTTTTTTTCCCCCCTCAGATATTTTAATTTTAACCAGAAATAAAATAAATTCGAATTGTAAATAGTTTAAATAACAAGGTTATAATAAAGAGATTCTTTACAGCCTTCACATTCACAAACTGGGAGGGGGATGTTTCTTTTGAATAAAAGAAACAAAAAGAAAATGAAAAATAACCATATTTGTTTCACACGGCATTTTCTTTGTATTGTGAATTCAAAAAAAGAAAACATCTTCAAACTAAATTCTTTCTCTTTCAGTGGATTTCAGCTGACTCTATTTGGGCAAAATGAATGAAACTAAAAGTTCCTTTTGGCAATACAAAATGGTATCAGAAAGTTTGTCAAGCTGATGCCCTGGCAGACTTTATAATGGACTTCAATCAGGTGGCATAGCTCTCAAATTTCACCAGCCTATTATATCTATCTATCTATATATATATATATATATATATATACACATACCATAGCATGACTTGAAGTTTTATGCACAACACAATCTTCAGGTGCTATGTAGAGATTGACTGTTATATAATTTAAATTTTAATAAAAATATCTGGATAACCCAATGCTAGTGCAGTCCATATATTATATGGAAAGTACAGGGTTTATACAGTTCTGTTTCATTTTCAAGCAATTATTGGAATATTCCAATAATTGCTTGAAAATGAAACAGAACTGATGCTTTTAATTTAATTATATAATTAATTTTAAAGTTTTTAGCTTACATTTTTGAAACATGGTTATTACTGTGTAGCAAAAAAAAAACTTATTTTCAATCAGTTAATTTATATTTATGCTCTGTAAACCGTTTTGTAAAAATAAAAAATATCAATAAGAACAACGGATTATATATCTTACTGTTCTTTCTTTATATATATATATATATATTGATTGTATTTAAAATAGGATTTAAATTTTATAATTAAAGCAAATGGGGATTAATATTTTTATTTTATATTTAAAATAAACAGGGGTTAATAGTATTTAAAAATGTATGTATGTATAGATATATATACATATTTAAATAGACGGGTCTAAAACTATATAAAAAAAATTATTTAAAGTAGATGGATTTATATTTTATATTAAACATAAATGGGGATTACTGTTTTTTTTAAATTTTGTATAAAAATAAATGGTTATATATATATATATATATATTATATATATATATTATATTCAAGAGATAAAAAAAACAAAAATAATACTATTGATAATAAAACTAATAATATTTATTGTGTATTAGTTGGCATTTTGACCAAATGGAAGCATGATGGGAAAGATGTTAAAAATCAAAATTTTTGGACACACTTGTGTCCTTTCTGAATGAGATGAGAAATAAAAAAAAACGAAGTGAGACTTTCTTTTCTTGGGAATTTATGTTGTTTTTTACCCTACATGTGTTGTATTACTGAAGAGATCTGATAATTTTGTGTTAGATGTCATGATTAGGGTTGTAGAGGGTTTATAGATGGCTTTCCGTGGAAACTGTATTCTTCATTGTATATGCACATATATATGTATGTATATAAATAAGGGAACTGAAGTTAACACTCAGAGGCGACAGACTTTCATGCTAAATGCAATTGTCAGGCCAATAAGAATAAGGCCTCTAGAATAATTTGACATAACTATTACTGCCACCACAATAAATATTAAGATAATACAATAGACCTTGCTACCCATAATGCACCATTGACCAGCATATATAGTCAAGACAAAACATAACACAACTGCCTGTAGCAAGCAAGAGTGTCGCCACTTCATGTTGACCTCAGTGTCCACTTCTATATTTACATATACTCTATCTTTGATATTGAGCATATCTATCCATAGATATAACATATCTTAAAAAAATATATTTTTACTTACATATATATATATATATATATATATATATATATATATATATATATATATATCTGTGTGTGTGTGTGTGTGTATTAAATAAAAAAGTTTAAACTGTCAGTTGTGTTTAATGAAGCTTGCGTTAAAAGGGATTGCTTCCCAAATACACAAATATGTATGGGGGAAAATGTTTGACAAACTGGAAAGTTTATTTGTGATGTGTTTCATCTAGGAGGATGAAACACATCACAAGTAAACTTTGATATATATTTCTATATATATATATATATACACACACAACTTTCATTAAAAATAAATGACAAGGTACTGTGGTTAAGTTTTTCATTTAATTTTTCATGTGTTCTTATAATTTTCTTTTTTTCTGGATGTAAGTTATGTAGAAATTGTCTAAGCTTTTTTGGCTAAAATTTTAGCTATTATCAATGGAAGCATCATTAATAAAAATGAAAAGCTAACACTCGATAACATCAACTATGAACATGGCCACAATTTGCTGGCCGTGTTTGGAAAATAAAACATTACTCTAACTCTAGATACATACATAACACAATCCATACATTCAGTTAAAAGTAAAAATAAAGTTCATCCTTGATAATGGCTAAAAGTATGGCTGAAAGCACTTGGACATGTAGAAATTGTCCAAACCTTTGGTATGATTTAAGTCCAGAAAGGAAGAAAATTATAAGAACACATGAAAAATTATATAAAAAACTGCAGTATCTTGTCATTCGTTTTTAATGAAAATTTTATAAAAGAGGGATTGCTACCCAAATACACCATTATTAAAATGTATATGTGTGTTTTGTGCTTGTGTGCATAGTATATTTTTTTCTGAATAATCATTTTATCCCAAGCAAGGCAGTAAAAGCCACTAAGATTCAAGGGGTTACTGAGAGTGAAAGATACAAATAGGACAATAAAAGAACAGGGTTCTTTTTTAAGGATACAGAAAATAAAGATTGGTATTGCATTTAAATTTTTAAGATTGTAGTTGACAGGAAAGCAGGAAGCTGGAAAAGAGTTCCACAGGTAAGAAGTGCAAGAAAAGAAACACAGATCTTATGGTTACAACTAGCAAATTCAAAAGTGAAATGATGAGACCTAACTGCCAATCTAGTACTGCACTTAAATTCATGAAGTTGAGGTATCAAAGAACAATTACCAAGAAAATGTCAGTGCTAGCACAGCTATTACAGAAAATGACAAACCAATCTCCTATTTTATTTTGTTGAATGTCCACTTTGCACTCATGAATCCACACACAACCCTGAACTCTGACCCATGACCAAATTTTTGGATTTTTTCTTTTCCCTGGTATCCCATAATGGCTGACAGAGAAGAGATTGTAGGTTTGAGTTCTTGGACAAACCTCTCTCACATAACTACAGTTGTGATAGTAAAAATCTGTTACACCCATTTTCAGCCTTGACAGGGGCTAGATATCCCTGCATATACACTCTTGTAAGCAGAGGGCATTTAGAATG